AGCTTTGCCAGCTGAAGCAGAGAACTGGCTAAGGCAGCTGCACCCTGGTGCAACCAACACAAAGCAAGAGACCAGAGAACTAGAAAGGCGAGGCTAACCAAGCCATTTATGTCTCTGCCCTTCAATTAACCCCACATGTGTTTATCAGCCAGGTTGGCACAATAGACTTTAACTCAACTACTCAGGTATAAACTTAACAAAGGCATTCCATTTACATACTTTATAGTTTTTAGGTTTATATTTTGCTTAGAAAGACCTTCCCCACTATAAAGTTTCAGTTTCACCTACATTTCCTTCTGGTACTTTGTGAGTTTGTGTTAAAAGTGTGCATAACAAAACATTTACCAAAAATAAAACATTTACCAATTCAACAATTTTTGCAAGTAGAGTTCCATGATATTGACTATAGTTTTTTTTAATGTTGTGCAAACATTTTCTTTGTTCTTTTCCAACATATTCTACTTCCATTAACATAATAACAGAAACTCCTTCTTACCCCTCCCTCCTACTCTGGTAACCACTACTAAACTTTGATTTCTATATATTTGTTTATTTCATGTAAGTGAGATCAGACAGTGTTTTTCCTTCTATGACTTCTATGATTTATTGCACTCAGCATATTATGTTGTCAAGGTTCATCCATGTAGTGACACGCAACAGAACTTCATTTTTCTCTATAGAAATCACTGCTATCAAGTTGTTTCCAGCTCATCGCAACCCTATTGGGCAGGCTAGAACTCTATTGGGTGGGTTTCCAAGACTGTAACTCTTTGCAGAAAGCCTCTTTTTTTCTTTCTCTCAAGGAGCTGCTTGTAGTTGCTAATGGCTCACGTGTGGTTGGCAGACTAATGCATAACTACTATGCTACCAGGGCTCCTCTAGGCGACGGTGTGAACAGCACCTCTTGTGTATCCATTCATCTGTTGATAGGCATTCAAGTCGATTCTACCTCTTGGCTATCGTGTGTAGAGCTTCCAGAACACTGGTGTTCAGGTTGCTCTTTGTGTTCCTGCTTTCAAGGTTTTGAGAAACTGCCAATCTGCTCTCCACAGTGGCTGTATCATTTCCCTGTCCACCAGCAATTTCTCCACACTTGCCAGCACCTCTTGTTTCCCATTTTAAAAGCGTAGCCATGCTAGAAAGGGTGGGTGATATCTCATCCTGGTTTTCATTTACATATTCTGACTACTCACTGCCTATTTGTACAATCTTTGAGGTAAATTCTCCGTTTTGTGCCCTTTGTTAATTGGCTGACTGGGTTATTTATCTTTTTGTTGTTAAATTTAAATTTCTTTATTAAAATTTTTTTTTAATATTAAACCCTTATCAGATACACAAGACCCCCAAATTTTCTCCCAATATGTTCCTTCTGGCATTTTATGGTTTACTTAATTGTACTAAAATTGTTCTCATGTTCATCTATCTAAAATCTGAAATGTGAGGTAGTTTTTTTCCCCCTTTTTTAGAGATAAACTGTGTAGTGAATCATTTGGGCTTAAGAGTATCTTTGTTTATTTAAGTTCACAGCAACAACAAATCGAGTCTGCCTCATAGCAACCCACTTGTTGGACTAGAACTGTGTTCCAAAGGGTTTCCTGTGGCTGTTTTCCCAGATCTTTCTTCTGAGTCACCTCCAGGCAGACGCAACTGCCTAAACTTTCTGTTAGTAGTTAAGCATGCTAACTATTTTCACTGCTCAGGAACTCCATTTACTCAGGCTCCACATGGTAAAGCTCTGCTCTCAGTTAATAAGAGAAGATAGAAGTGACAGAATAGTTACAAACCTAAGGAACTAATTCAACCATCTAGTGCATCGATTGGCTAAACCCATTGAGGCAAATTTTCAACTAAGACTAACTTTGGATTTGTTCTCTTGTCCTTCATGAGCCCAGCCGTCACCTGGTTTTCCTTCCTTTTAGTGTGAAGGGATAAGCCCTCTGTTACTGCTGAGTTTTATATCGATTTTACACTCATGAAATGAAAACTGTAATGTCGAGACTCTTAAGCATGCTTTAGAGAGTTGGGGGAAGCTAAAAATAAGATCTGGTCTAGTATTCTTGACGACTTGCGAATTGTCGTGAGTTGAAGAAGTAGCTGAGCTGACATGAGTTTCTGTGGGCCTTCCCTCTTCACGCTCAGGCTTTCTTCTCCGGAGCAGAAGAGGCCAGGGAAGAGATCTAGAAATGGCAGCTGCAGTGCTGTGTCCTCCTCTGCAGGAGTCCGAAACAAGCCTGAAGAAGAAGGAAAATCATTGTTGATCATTTCTAAATTACACAAGATTGTAGAACTTTGATATTTTTAACAGGCTCATGATAGAGCTTCGGGTTGGTTCATTTGTAAAATCGCTGTCGAGTTTGTCCCAATGGCACATTGAATAATTACTCTTTCCCCCGCGGATCTCAGATCCCTTTGTTTCTGATCCCTGCTCTGGTCTTGTGTCGTCCTTTCTCCTCCAGGGCATCACCCAGGCTGCAGGGAGAATGCCCGTCAAAAGAACATGTGGCCATGCTAGCTCCCTGTCCAAACTGTGGCGGTGAGTGGCATCTTAGAAACAAGATCACAGAGCTGAACTTGCCTCACAAACCTCTCTGCTCAGACCACCCTGCCCCTCCCTCAACACATTTCAGCCACACTCATCCTATGGTTCCTTTTCGGGGTGTTTGCATGTCTGTAGGTAACATTCTCTTCCTCAGGGGTGAGTGCTAATATAGCTACATATCAACCTGCTCCTTGTTCCTTGGGGAAGTCTTACCTCACATAGCCAACGACAAGTCAGGCACCCTGATTATGTCTCAAGGTTTCCTATGCTTTTCCTTTAGGACACTTGCTTGCAAGGAGCCATTGGTGCAATTACTTATTAGCGACTTGTTTTTTCTTTTTCTTTTAAAAATCATTTTATTGGGGGCTCATACAACTCTTATCACAAGCCATACAATCCATCCATTGTGTCAAGCACATTTGTACATTTGTTGCCATCATCATTTTCAAAACATTTGCTTTTTACTTGAGCCCTTGGTATCAGCTTCTCATTATTTTCCTCTTCCTCCCCCACCCTCCCTCTCTCACAAACCCTTGATATTTTATAAATTATTATTGTTTTTTCATGTCTTACACTGATCGATGTCTCCCTTCACCCACTTTTCTGTTGTCCGCCCCCCTGGGAGGGGGTTATATGTAGATCATTGTGATCAGTTCCCCCTTTTCCCCGCCACCTTCCTTCCCCTTCCCCTCCTGGTATGGCTACTCTCAATATTAGTCCTGAGGGGTTTATTTGTCCTGGATTCCCTGTGTTTCCAGCTCTTATCTGTAGCCACGTACATGCTCTGGTCTAGCCAGATTTGTAAGGTAGAATTGGAGTCATGATAGTGGGGGAGGGGGAAGCATTAAAGAACTAGAGAACAGTTATACGTTTCATAGGTGCCTATACTGCACCCTGACTGGCTCGTCTCCTCCCCAAGACCCTTCTGTAAGGGAATGTCCAGTTGCCTACAGATGGGCTTTGCACTGCACTCCCCCTCATTCACAATGATATGACTTTTTTGTTCTTTGATGCCTGATCCTAGCGACACCTCTTAATCACAGAGGCTGGTGTGCTACTTCCATGTGAGCTTTGTTGCTTCTCAGCTAGATGGTAAAGGCTTGTTTTTCAAGAGGGCTTTATATGTCTTGGTCACTGGGATAACACCTGGGCCAGTGCCAGACACAAAGTAGATGTTCATTCTTTTTACTAAATATAAGAATATCATTCTAGATTTGTTGAGTCAATTGTAAAAGTATATTCCATATAACCCAGTGGTTCACAACCTGTGGGTCTCAACCCCTTTGGGGGTCGAATGACCCTTTCACAGGGGTCGCCCGATTCATAATAGTAGCAAAATGACAGTGATGAAGTACCAACAAAAATAATTTTATGGTTGGGGGTCACCACCACATGAGGAACTGTATGTATTAAAGGACTGTGGCATTAGGGAGGTTGAGAACCACTGATATAACCAGTATTCTAGCAAGAAGACCGTGCAATTAATTGCAACATAATGTGCTATCAAATGAGAGAGAGAGAGAGTGTGTTGTGTGTGTCTGTGAGAGAGAGAGAGAGAGAGCTTGAGAGAGAGAGAAATCATGCCATGCCAATGAGGAAAATCAGATCAGTCCTACCTGGATGATTAGCATCCAGGTCACTCAACCCACAAGGCCCAAATGTAAATCTAGAATACATAAGTGCTCTGGCATTGACTTAGATGAGGTGGCATGACAGAGCTCACGTGTGCCGAGCAAAGAGAATGGGCACCCAGGCCGGCTGGGCAATGGTGTGTTCTCCTGAGGTCAGAAGGAAGAAGACAGCTTAGTTGGACTTAGTTGGTAGTGGTTGGGGACGAGCATATGGGGACAGGAACAGAAGCAGGAGGACTCCGATGGCAGGGCCTAGAAGGAAGGCCAAGAGAAGATGGGCATCAACATCTGTGCAGATGGTTCTCAGGGTCTGTAGCAGGTCCTGAGCTTGGGCCTGTCCTGGCCAGGATCTTCTCAGGGAGGGAAGGAAGAAGAGGCTGTGGAGGAACCACCCTGCCCGGCTCCTCCTCCCCATCAAGGCTGGTCTGGGAGGTCAAAGCCCTGGCTGCTAGCAGAGCAGGGTCAGGTTGTCTGCCTTGGGGCTCCCCTCCACCTCCCCCACCACTGTGGCCTGGCAGATGGGGCAGCACATGGTGTTCCTAAGGTGAACGGTCACTTATCTGTATTTAGTGCAAAAGATGGCCCAGGCCCAGCACGCCCATCTGCTCGAGGTGGTGCAGGGGAAAAGGAGCATGGAGCAGACCCTCCTCAAGATGCAGAAGACATCTGAAGGTGTAAGTGTGCGCCCAGCCTCTGTGCTCAAGTTCCGTTTTGGCTTTGTCGCTAAAAGCCCGAGTGATAACTTTGACAGTTGCAAATTCTCAGCCAACTCCTGAAGCCAGCAGGGTCCCTAAGTCCTGGGCCCTGGTAGAGGTGACTCCTTCTCACAGTGGTTCTGGCACAATGGGGGTCACCGGGGCTTCCCTGTGGGCACCCAGCGGGGGCAAACCTAGGTTCTGTTGGCACACCCTTCGGTTTGTTCTGATGTCTTGTTCTGCATTCTGAGTCGTTGTCCTGTCTGTATTCCTCTTTCTTACTGCCTCTCCCCAGAAGCAGTCAGAGTTGGTAGAAATGAAGTCAGACCTCAAGCACCTGGAAGTCTCAGTTACCCAGCAGAGCAAAGACTTCCAGCAGCTGCGTGAGCAGCTTGCTCAGCTGGACGCACCCAGTCTCCTTGCAGACCTAAAGAAGTGGATCTCGCTGCCTCGGGGACGTGAGCTGATGGTCGACAGCAGCTCTCAGACCTCACCACTTCTAGCCCAGAGCCTCAGTTTCACCAGGCAGGAAAAACGGACCTCTGAGGAACCAGCTGCATGCAGTGCCTGTATGTATGGTGTCTGGGGTGAGGGGGCAAAGAGTGATGCTCTCCGAGAAGAGGCCACACTGCCAATTGCTGAGTCCAGGAAAGGAAGCAGGCCTGGACAGGACAAGGAGATGCAGACTGTGTGCAAGCACCGTGCCCTTGCTGACCATGGTGCCAGGGACCTGGGCTCTCAGGGAGCCTCTCGTGTCCGATCTGGAGATTTAAACCACTGTGCAGCCAGCATTAAGAAATCTTGCCGAGACTATGAAGTTCAAGATGTGTTTTCATGTGATCCATGTGGACAAAGTGTAGTAGCTAAACCGAAAGGCAGGGTTGTACAGAGAGGAAAAAAGGGCAACACGCAGCAGCTCAGGAGAGCCCCCAGAGGCAAGCCCCTCCCCAGGAAGCAAGAATCTTCCCCACGCAAGACCACCTGCACTGTCAATCCCAAATATCTGGGCCCTCAACCTCCAGTTTTTCGCCCACAAAGGGCCCGCCAGGTGCAGCCTCTGCATCTGTGGTGCTCCAGGACCCCCACAAAGCCAGCCTGCTCAACTCGGGGGCTTGGGAGAGGTCCTTCTGAAAACCCCAACATACTGTCTAGCAGCTCCCAAAGGGACCCCCAGATGTACTGGTTCAGCAACCTCAACACCCCAATTTCAGAGTCGCCTCAGCTGAAGGAGCAGGGGAAGAATCTGCTCTATGACTTCCTTTTGGATAGCAGTGATGAAGGCTTCTAACCAGTCCACAGGGCAGACTGCTCTCAGCTGGAGGGCCCACTGCCCTTCGCCCTTCAGCTGAGACGGAGAAGCGGTTTGCTGAAGTCCTTGCATCCTGCTTGGGATCCTCAGGGTCAGAGATCATCGTACTAGGTGAGGTCACTGTGCTCTGGGTAACAGGTATGGGTATCAGGTAAGAGCCCTGGGACCACGGTGGGGGATGGGAGGCGGCAGGAGGGGGCAGGGAATTAAGTCAGTGCACCCTTCCTTAGTCATTAGGAGGAAATGTGTAAAGACAGAGGTAATGTCAGCTGGGACATTGGGAGGAGGCGGCAGCTGAGCTGTACAGAAGGGCTCCACAGAGCAGCTGGCTTCCCAGCACAGCAGTTGGTCTCCAGACCCCTCTGCATGCATCTTGGGGTGCGGGGTAGGGGTGGATGGCGCGGGGAGGCATTGGTCTCCCTTCCTCCTTCTCCCTCTCTCTTTCTTCTTACTTTCTAACTTTCAGCTAGTGTACTATCAGAATGTTTGCATTCTTGGCCTTGGGCGCAGCCTTGAGCACATGCAGATGGCCCTGCAGGGAGCCGGAGCTCCAGGGAGTGAGGAGAGAGGCCCTAGATACCCTATCCTCCCCCACCCCCACCCCCCAGCATTGTAGCATTGTTGTTCACAGCGGGACCAGGCCACCGGGCTTCTTCCTGCTGGTGCTCTATGGGAGCAATGGGAGACTTGCTCTTGATCTATCTGGCTGAGGTCTTTGAATTTTTGAAACATGTACGTGTTTACTCATAAAAAAATAAAGATATGTTCATTTTAAAGCATAAATGTTTGTGTTCCACTAAGTTTACTGGATCAGTTCACATAGGAATTCAGATAAGATGTATACGATCTTCTTCATTCCCCAGACATTGCACAAGATGAACTTGAAAGAAACAATACCCCGTTCCAATGGTTTCCTTCTTTCTCATTTCCTTTCTTGTATGAAAGGGAAACATTCTCATGGAAGACTTTCAGAATTTTCTCATTTTCAAGCCAGGAGAGTAGATGGCATTGGTGTTAGAAAGCGATGGCCCTTGGTTTCT